AGAATCAAACACGAAGTTCAGGAATGGAAATTTCTGCATAGTTACTTTGGTTCAGCTTGAACTTCAGTGATTTCCAGCTTCCAAGGAAATTGCACAGGTATGGCACATACTGTAACTAATTACAATGGTCCAAACTGTAGCAATCTAACTATGTAAAAATGTATATACTTAGAATTCAGCTTTAACCACTTCAAGTCTGGACACTTTCACCCCTTTCCAGTCCATGCCAATTTTCACCTTTCAGCACTATCACACATTGAGTGACAATTGCGCAGTCATGCAATACTTTACCCATATGAAATTTGTATCATTATTTGAGGCAGATATAGCTTTCGTTTGGTGATATTTGATAACCACTGTTTTTTTTTTTTTTTTTTTCAATATACATGAAAAAATACCAGAATTTTGAAAAAAAAAAATTTTTTTGCTTAGTTTTTGTCATAACATTTTGCAAATAAATAGTCTTTCTTTATAAATTGAGGCCAAATCATATTCTGCAAAATTTTGTGGGTAAAAATAACCCACAACAGTGTATATTATTTAGTCTGTGTGAAAGCTAAAGAGTCTACAAACTATGGGATATATATCTGAAAATTGATCAGTTGAGACCCTAAAATGCTGGACACTAGTATGACGAATGGCAGTAATTAGGACGCTGGTATAGTGTATGGCGGTGATCAGGGCATTAGTATGAAGTATGGCGATCAGGACGCTGGTATGGGGTAATCAGGACACTGGTATGGGCTAATCAGGACACGGGTGTGGTGGTGGTCAGAACGCTGGTATGGGGTATGGTGGTGATCAGGTTGCTGGTATATGGTATAGCGGTGATTAGGACGCTGCTATGGGGTAATCAGGACACTCATATGGGGTATGGTGGTGATCAGGACGCTGGTATGGGGTATGGTGGTGATCAGAATGCTGTTATATGCTATGGCGGTGATCAGGACGCTGATATGGGGTGATCAGGACACTCATATGGGGTATGGTGGTGATCAGGACGCTGGTATGGCATATGGGGTGATCAGGATGCTGGTATGGTATATGGCGGTGGTCAGGGCGCTGATATGGGGTATAGCAGTAATCAGGACACTGGTACACCGGTGATTAGGACATTGGTATGGTGTATGGTGGTGTTATTGTGCACTAGGACAGGTGACAGGTGCTGGCTGCATTATTTATTGTCCCTACAATGGGCAGTGATCAGGGACTCTGGGGTGGCTGGCACAGCAGTCTGTTAGCGTACATGCAGCCTGACAGGCAGCTGTATACTCACAGGCTGCTGCATCGCTTCTCTCTACCCTCACAGTGAGAGCAGAGAGAACCGATCTTTACGTTCACTTTCAGTGTTTACAATGTGAGTGTTGTGATTGGTCACAGCAATCACATGGTAAAACACCATGTAATTGCCTGAATACAGCGGTAATGTTATCTGCTGTGTCCAGGCGACATAACAATCGGCGGGCTCCTGGGTGCGTGCTCTGTGAGCCACGCAGGAGCCGCCGATGCAGGCTGAGGTATAGGTATGTCCGCTGTCTGTGGACCATGGGTGGATGGGAAGAGGTTAAAGACAAATTCCAGGTATGGGTATTTTATGCATAGATAGGGGATCTAGAGTACTATTCAGAGAATGCTTTGTGTTTTCTGAGTGAATGCAAAGCATTGTCTGATTGGACGAAGTGCAGAGTATAACATCACCTCCCCGCCTCACCACCTCATCCAATCAGAGAATGCGTTGCATTCATTCAGAAAACGCAAAGCATTCTATGAATGGTGCCCATGCCAAGCTGTCTACCTCCTGTGTTCACAATGCAGAAGGCCAGCAGCTTGGCTCGGGACCCAGAAGAAAGTGAAGATCACTGAAGTAGCGGTGTCTGCTTCACTGATATCCATATTCCAGGGGAACAGGTACAGTATATGCTTCATTACACGGGTCCAAAGCTGGACCAATGTAATTATATCCACACCTTGCTTCTTTAAATGTCCTTCACAAATATTGACTTTCTAAAAGTGAGTACTTGCATATCCCGAGACATAGCCTTCCTTCAATTGGGCACTGAACACTGTAATATTGGAAAGAAGGGAAAGCCTTCTCTTCCTACTTTATGTTCCACATACCAATCTGTTTTGGGGTCTTTCAATGGAAGACGTTTGCATGTAAGTTATAAAAACGCTCTTGTACCTCCTAATACATGGGATACAACCTAATTTTTAGATTAAATATTTTTTACGAACTGGTTTACTTTAAACACTATTAATTGTTATTTGTTGCTGATATCTGTGTGCACAAATATATATGTACAATATTTCCAAAAGGATATAATCAATAGACAAGTAACTCATATTTAATCATGCAAACTAATAAATATTTTGATGCAATCTTCCTGTGAAAACTTTATTTTTAACCCCGATTTTATTATCCCAATCTTAGCCACTATAAAATGACTTGATTGGAAGATTCTGGCAATTTGCACAGGTGCTCCAACCTCTAATCTCATATTGTGTATCACAGGCCATATTTTCACTGTCAGAAAAACCATTATATCTGACAGGAGGTTCAACAAAGCATTGTTTTGCTAACTGTCAGGTGTGCACACACTAATGTTAGAGATAAGCCAAAGATGGGGATGTGTGATCATATGGTGATCAATCTCTTAGATTGTAAGCTCCAAGGGCAGGGCCCTCCTATCCCTCTTGTATTGATCTGTATTGTTGCTGTATTGTCTCACTTTATATTGTAAAGTGCTGAGCAAACTGTTGGTGTTATATAAATCCTGTATAATAATAATAATAATATGGTTTATAGAGCACAGAAAATGAAACTTTGGGGTTGATATGCTAAAGGCAAATAATCTGTTCATTTTACAAATACTGTAACCAGCTGTTGGAATAATTTAAAGAGGCAATAAACCCCAAAACAAAAATGTACTGTATTGCAATCTTCCAATCCCTAAATGCGGTGGCTGCATTTGTTTTCTTTGCTGTTTTTAGAATTTTTTTTCCTTTATTCTCACCTGGTGATCAGGATAGTAACACACTGTCTTTAGGTGCCTGCACTCTAGATGGAGGAGCAACAGAGACACCCCTGGACAGAAGCATTGTCTGTGCGGAGGGTAGTTTTAGATGCACTAAGCAGATTTAAAAAGACTTGACTAACAAATTAAAAATGAACACCAGCTAATACTTTTTTAAGCAGTTACAGCAACAGGTTTTTTTTTTCCTTTTGGAATAAATGTTTTACATAAATGAATGAAAGCTGATCATTGTAAGCACCCCTGTCAGTGGTAAATGGTTTATCTCAGCTTTCTAACAGCCACTTTTGCTGAACAGCTTGGTCTGTTAACCGCCTCCCGACCGCCCTATAGCAGATATACTGCTACAGGGCAGCACGAGTGCGCAAAATCATGTGTGTGTGTGTGTATATATATATATATATATATATATATATATATATATGATTTTCATTCCTACCATTCGCAGCCATGGCTGTCAATCACTGGATCCGGACGGTAATTATTCACCGGTACCCAGTGAATGCTGAGAATCTCCAATGGGGAGGAGAACTGTATATAAACAATACAGTTCTCCTCCTTGTCAGCTCGTCCACACTGCTTTTTGATGGCTGTGCACAGCACAGCCATCCAAAGCAGTGTGATTATAGTGAAGCACACAGACACAAGTAAAACAGCACACAGTTAACCCTTTGATCGCCCTCATGTTAACCCCTTCCTGCCCAGTGCCATTAGAACAGTGTCAGTACTTTTTTGTAGCACTGATCACTGTATTGGTGTCACTGGGGATGTCAGTGACACCAAGTCTGTTCCCCCCCAGTGTCAGAAAGCCCGCTGCAGTTCCGCAGTCCTGCAATAAGTCTCTGATTGCTGCCATTAAAAAAAAAATTCCAGTATCTATACCGCCATTTGTAAACGCTAAAACTTTCATGTAAACCATTTAATTTACACATATTGGGATTTTTTTTAGCCAAGACATGTATCAAAATACATTTTGACCTAAATTTATGACAAAATTGTATTCTTTTATTTTTTTTTTACTGGACATGTTTAATAGCAAAAAGTCAAAAAAATATTTTTTTCTCCAAATTGTCGGTCTTTTTTTTTATAGCACAAAAAATTAAAAATACACAGGCGATCAAATAGCACCAAAAGAAATCTCAATTTGTGGGAAAAAAAGGACGTACATTTCTTTTGGGTTCAGCGTTGCATGACCGCTCAGTTGTCAGTTAAAGTAACGCAGCGCGGTAATGCACAAAGTGGCCTGGTCTGGAAGGGCAGGATCCTCTGGAGGGCAAGTGGTTAAAAGAAGTTGAAGAACAACAAATTTACTTAATATAACCATAACATCTGAGAATTGGCACTCTTTACGTCTGGAGGAAAATAAATTTAATCTCTAAACACGGAAAGGTTTCTTCACAGTGAGAGCTGTGAGAATGTGGAATAGACCCCCTCAAGAGTTGGTTCTGCCCAGCTCAGTGGATTGCTTAAACCACATGCCTACAGGGCACTTATACCCCCTTCCTGCCCAGGCCAATTTCCAGCTCTCAGCGCTGTCACACTTTGAATGACTATTGCGCGGTGATGCAACACTGTACCCATATGAAATTTTTATCATTTTTTGTGACAGATAAAGCTTTATTTTGGTGGTATTTAATCACCTCTGGGTTTTTTATTTTTTTTCTTAAACAAGCCAAAAACTGCTGAAAATTTTGAAAAAAAAATTTTTTTCTTAGTTTTTGTTGTAAAATTTTGTAAATAAGTTATTTTTCTCCTTCACTGATGTGCGCTAATGAGGCTGCAGTGATGCGCACTGATAGGCTGCACTGATGGACACTGATAGGTGGCACTGATGGGCACTGATGAGGAGGCACTGGTAGGTGGCACTGATGGGCAATGACAGGCATCATTGATGGGCACTGAAAGGCAGCACTGATATATGGCACTGATAGGCGGCACTGACTGGCACTGTTACGTGGCACTGACTGGCACTGATAGGTGGCACTGATGCACACTGATAGGCACTGATTGGCAGCACTGATTGGCATTGATAGGTGGCACTGACTGGTACTGATGGGTGACACTGAAAGGCAGCTCAGATGGGCACTGATATGTGGCATTGATGTGCACTGGTAGGAACGGATATGTGGCATTGATGTGGCACTGGCACGTGGCACTGTTCAGCACTGGCAGCTGGCACTGATGGACACTGACAGGTGGCACTTCTGTGGCCACACTGATCATCAGGGCACACTGATTATATGTGCCCTGATGATCTGTGTACATGTCCCCTCCGCGGAATGCCGATTACCGGCTCTCCTCACCTCACGAGCTGTCAGCGTGACAGCTTGTGAGGAGAGAAATGCCGATAACCAGCATTTCCCTGTTTACATCTGATCAGCTGTGATTCGACACAGCTGATCACATGACCGAGCCGACATCTTCGGCTCTTTCCGTAGATTGGTGATCCGCTGTGTCCGAGGGACGTCATATGACGTCCTCCCAGAACGAGGGAACCACCTTGCGCCCGTCAGTGGACTATATGGTGGGCAGGAGGTGGTTAAAAAAGGCCTGGATTGTTTCTTAGATACACAGAATATAACTGGATACTAACATTTATAGGTAAAGTTGATCCAGGGAATATCCGATTGCCTCTCGGTGGATCAGCAAGGAATTTTTTTTTCCCTGCAGGAGCAAATTTAATCTTGATTTGCTGGGTTTTTTTGCCTTCCTCTGGATCAACTGTGGGTATAGGATTATAACTTTTTTTTTTAAATGGTTGAACTGGATGGATTTTGTCTTTTTTCAGCCAGACTTACTATGCAACTGTGTAACTATGTAAGCTGCAATATAATACATTTGTATTTTTGGGTTTAATATTGCTTTACAAAACTGCCAGTGTAGGCTCTTAAAATGCACAAAAAGTGGCTGCATCTCATTAACGTTAATATTTTATGTATTTTTGCTGTGGTCCCAGATCTGAATCTTTTTGATGTAGCGAGTCAGTTTCACAGCCAAGTTCAAGGCAATGGTAGAATTATATACCTAGGTTTGATTGGTACCCTTTAACAAAGCTGAATCAATTAACCGCTGAAGCAATGCTTTCCCTTACCACGATTCGTCTATCTTTTAGTGTTAAGAAGATCCTTCAGAAATTCTGCTCAACCATCACTTTGTCTGTGTCATAGGAAGAATTTTTGGTTTTACATGACCGGTCACCCCTCGGGGCTGACGTTCTTTTGTAAGCACTGCCTAAAGGGGGTGTAGCCACTTGTTCCCCCTTCATCCACATCTAATAACTTTGACAGGCCAAACGTTCAAATTAAGCCTGCCATTGACGGAGCAATTTTCTTACCTGCAACCACAGGTTGCAGGAATGAAAATCGCTCAATTCCCCCATCTACACAGTCAGTGTTGATAGGGAAATCCCTCCAGTGGAGCAGAGCCGTCCCTGCCCAGGAGAACACAGTGATTACTGCTTTAACAGCCGCTGGCAATAATTGCATGTAAAATTCTACAGGCTGGTTGTACCCAAGTTGATTGATCGATCAACTTGGGTATATTCTGCCTGCTCATATATGGTTCAAACCTAGGCCAGTCCTTGCTGAACTGGCTGGGATTTGAACCGTCTATGTCCGACTTTAGTTTTCCATAGTACCAAAGATTTGTTGAGGTGTATGTACCTCATTCAGATGTGTTGAGGTGCGTGTACCTCCTTCAGATGTGTTGAGGTGTGTGTACCTCCTTCATATGTGTTGAGGTGCGTGTACCTCCTTCAGATGTGTTGAGGTGTGTGTACCTCCTTCAGATGTGTTGAGGTGCGTGTACTTCCTTCATATGTGTTGAGGTGCGTGTACCTCCTTCAGATGTGTTGAGGTGCATGTACCTTCTTCAGATGTGTTGAGGTGCGTGTACCTTCTTCAGATGTGTTGAGGTGCGTGTACCTTCTTCAGATGTGTTGAGGTGCGTGTACCTCCTTCAGATGTGTTGAGGTGAGAGTGTACTCCCTTCAGATGTGTTGAGGTGCGTGTACTCCCTTCAGATGTGTTGAGGTGCGTGTACCTCCTTCAGATGTGTTGAGGTGCGTGTACCTCCTTCAGATGTGTTGAGGTGCGTGTACCTCCTTCAGATGTGTTGAGGTGCGTGTACCTCCTTCAGATGTGTTGAGGTGCGTGTACCTTCTTCAGATGTGTTGAGGTGCGTGTACCTTCTTCAGATGTGTTGAGGTGCGTGTACCTTCTTCAGATGTGTTGAGGTGCGTGTACCTTCTTCAGATGTGTTGAGGTGCGTGTACCTTCTTCAGCTGTGTTGAGGTGCGTGTACCTTCTTCAGCTGTGTTGAGGTGCGTGTACCTTCTTCAGATGTGTTGAGGTGCGTGTACCTCCTTCAGATGTGTTGAGGTGCGTGTACCTTCTTCAAATGTGTTGAGGTGCGTGTACCTTCTTCAGATGTGTTGAGGTGCGTGTACCTTCTTCAGATGTGTTGAGGTGCGTGTGCCTCCTTCAGATGTGTTGAGGTGCGTGTGCCTTCTTCAGCTGTGTTGAGGTGCGTGTACCTCCTTCAGATGTGTTGAGGTGCGTGTACCTCCTTCAGATGTGTTGAGGTGCGTGTACCTCCTTCAGATGTGTTGAGGTGCGTGTACCTCCTTCAGATGTGTTGAGGTGCGTGTACCTCCTTCAGATGTGTTGAGGTGCGTGTACCTTCTTCAGATGTGTTGAGGTGCGTGTACCTTCTTCAGATGTGTTGAGGTGCGTGTACCTCCTTCAGATGTGTTGAGGTGCGTGTAACTCCTTCAGATGTGTTGAGGTGCGTGTACCTCCTTCAGATGTGTTGAGGTGCGTGTACCTTCTTCAGATGTGTTGAGGTGCATGTACCTTCTTCAGATGTGTTGAGGTGCGTGTACCTTCTTCAGATGTTTGAGGTGCGTGTACCTTCTTCAGATGTTTGAGGTGCGTGTACCTTCTACAGATGTGTTGAGGTGCGTGTACCTTCTTCAGATGTGTTGAGGTGCGTGTACCTCCTTCAGATGTGTTGAGGTGCGTGTACCTCTTCAGATGTGTTGAGGTGCGTGTACCTCCTTCAGATGTGTTGAGGTGTGTGTACCTCCTTCAGATGTGTTGAGGTGCGTGTACCTTCTTCAGATGTGTTATACAACGCCTTCCTATGCCCGATCAAACCGAGGAATTGAGGGTGGGGATGGTGACTGTACGGGTAATCAAAATTTCAGGCCCTTTTACACTACTATGCTTTACTTCCCATGTTTCAATGCACTACAACTCATGTATCTAACTTCCCCATATTAAAAATAGAGTTTGTTCTGATCTCAGCACTGTAGTGCAGTTCATTTTTACAAATATGAGATGTCCTTTTTTTCACTTGGAGAGAGGGAGGATGCCTTACGGTTCTTTCACACAGGTGTTTAAAATAAGTGGTTAGGTTTGTGTTTTTACCGCTTTCTGGCCGCCTATCAATGTCACTCAAAATTGTTAAAATAGAGAGTGGATGAAGGTTATGAAACTGAAGTGTAGTGTTGGCCCTGCATCATGATGAAGCAAAATTAACACTGCATGCAGAGTTCAGCAAGCGTTGATGCTTTGCAACCACCTCCATTCATTTATATTTACACACACTACAAGTGCGCCTTAAAAGCACTGTAAAACCTCCTCGGGTGTTTACAGTACGTTTAGGGTGGGTTTGCAAAGTGTCAAAAGTGATCATTTCTCATTTTAGCCTTGTAAAAAAAACAAAAAAAAAAAACACCACAGGTCATTTGAGGAGCCTTTCCTGACGCAGCATGAATGCCTGTACAACACATCCAAAACGCTCATTGATGCTATAGGCACATTAATGCTCATTAGGTTTCCTCCGTGTACTCTGGTTTTCTCCCACACTCCAAAGACATGCTGGTAGGGTAATTGGCTTCTGTCTAAATTGGCCCTAGTATGTGTATGTATGAATGTGAGTTAGGGACTTTAGATTGTACGTCCCTTGAGGGTTAGGGACTGATGTGAATGTACAATATATATGTAAAGTGCTGTGTAAATTGACGGCGCTATATAAGTATCTGAAATAAATAAAAAAATAAATGAATTAAAACTGCTTTAGATTTTAATGCCTGTGTGAAAGAGCCCTTCTGAACTCAATCCCAGAGCTCAGCTTCAACCTTGCATCATTCAAGTGCATTTTACCTTCTCTGTTCTCTAATCTACTACCTGCTGTGTGTTGTGGGGGAAATACATACAGTCTTTGAAACTTGATCTGTGATTAATTGCTTTTCAGATCAGAGGGTGGTACAGGAGCAGGCATCAAGGAGGTGATGCTGCTGCCTTCTAAAGTTTTTTTTTTTTGACAGCCGAATGGGGTTTTGGAATAGGAATATTGCATAGTGATAACAAGTGGTATGCGGTTGCAGCATGGCCCAATCCCTTTGATTGGTTACTGCCCATCAAATGCAAAAAGGTGTATCATTTTTGCCATGCGCAAAGCATGGTGACCATGGCATATGTACAACTCCGTCCCCCAACCACATATGTAGATGAGACCTATGTTTATTTAAAGATAGCATTAGAGGATTTTTACTGGCCAAAATTTTAAAAAAGGGAACATTTTACCAGTAAGGGCTCATGTACACTGCAGCTGATAAACTGACATTCAGGAGCTGTTCAGTGTTTTTTTCAGCAGCCCCTTAAATCTCCCTAATGTTTTCCTATGTGTCCATGTACATACAGTCGTTTACAGGCAGTTGAGTTTACAGTTGTTTTTTTGAACGCACCAAACTTGCATTCAGGTGTAGATTTTATCAGCGTTTCAAATGCCAAACACTTGTAAATGCTTGTAAATGCGACTAACCGTGTTTTTAAGCGTTTGCGTTTAGAAGCGTTTTTTAACTGTTCCATATCCAGATGCTGTCCAGAGCCTTTTTTCATCATCAGAAATGCATGCAAAGCATTTCCCATGTATTCAAATGGACTTAGTACACCAGCGCAGTCAGTTCCAGGTTTTGTGTGGAGGAACAAAATGGTAGAACGTGCCGCATTATGCTCATGATGGGATCCATAGTGAATACAACCAGAAAAGACAGGTCATCTCAACACATACTGCTCTCTCTGCTTCTGCTCTCTCTATTTCTCTCAAAATGTCTGAAATAGTTAATTTTTTACTGTTTTTCAGTGCATTCTGGGCATTTGGGAAGGTCTTCCTGAGGTTATCTTAAAATAACGCTTCTAAACACAAATGCGCATAAACACGGTATGCAAATGTGACTAAATAGACGTTTTTTAACCTACGTTTTCCAGCACTCAGTTTCGATCGTTCAGAAGAATTTTCCAAATGTCCCGTGTACATGGAGAATAAAACTTCCCAGGGACATCTGACAAGAGCAGAGTCAGATGACAGAGCTGAGGTATAGATAACTATAATAGAGTAGAATTATGATCACACAGTTCATTA